GATCCAAAAGACCAATATGGTAACTTCAAGGTTAAATAACCTTTATTCTATCAAAAAATTTAACTCAATTTTCCCTTTAGTTTCTGAAGATGCCCCAAGAAAGAATTAAAGTCACAAAATATCAATCTTTACAAATAGAACTGCTCATGAAACTGGAAAAATGGGGCCCTGATGTTATATTAAACATTAAAGTATGCAGCCAATTAAGTGACTTTAACTTTGAGTAGATAAGGATCTTGTAAATTTAAAAAATCTGCAGATTTTGAAATCTTTTAAGTTCAAAAAAAGAAAATCTGCAGGGTTTTGTTGTTAAGTCTGGTTTGGGAAACATTAAACCAGTGGCTCTCATGAACCAGCAGCATAAATATCACCTAGAAACTTATTAAAAATGCAACTTCGGGGTGCCTGGGTGGCTCAGTTAAGTGTCTGACTTTGGCTCAGAGCATGATCCCACAGTTTTTGAGTTCATGCCCCCACATCAAGCTCTGTGCTGGAGCCTGCTTGGGATTCTCTCTGTCTCTGTCCCTTCTCCATTCTCTCTTTCAAAATAAATAAAAATGAACTTAAAAAAAAATGCAAATTCGTGAGCTCCATTCCCACACCTACCAAATCAGAAACTCTAGAACAGGTAAAGCCCAATAAATGCGTTTTAACAAGTCTTTCAGCTGATTCTGATGCCAGCTAAAGTTTGACTTCATTAGCCTAAGAAACATCCCCCCAGATCAATTTCTTGAGATTTAGAAGTCCCAGTGTCTCCTTGTCATTACTGCTTCTAGGTATTAGGGAGACCTGTGAAGATTTTTATGACTAGTAAGTTAGCTGCACAATGATAATTCCCCCTAATAATTCATACTGTTCCTGCCTTGCTATTGTGCCTACACTATCTCATAACATAAAAATTCTAATATACACTGTCGTGAATTTTGGTTGAGAAGATATTTATATTGATGAATGCAGGACAGTCGGTAATACTAGGTGAAATAACACATCTAAAAAATTAAAGTTTTGGCATACTGTAAAAGTTCAATAGTATTTTTATTAATGCTCAATGTGTTATTTCCTAAACTTAAATTTGTGCTTTTCTTAAACACAGTTTTTCTTATTGAGAGTTACAGTCATTCATTACTGTATAGAGAAAGAAAGAAAGAAAGAAAGAAAGAAAGAAAGAAAGAAAGAAAGAAAGAAAGAAAGAAAGAAAGAAAAGTCATTTTGGGCTTTCATTTTTCTCTTTTGTTACCTTAGTGATCATTCTTTAATTAATATAAGTAAGCAACACACACAATTTTACAAAAACTGCCACAGAAGAGGATAACATTATTTGTGAATTTGCCCCACACAGTTGCAGATAGCAACATATCATATCCTTAATACACAGTGGCCTCAAATTACAAGGTTCATACATTCAGTAAAAAAAAGTTCAAGTTCACAGTTTCAATCATTTTTCACTGTAAGGAAGAAACTGAGTGAGTTGTTTTCAATTTGTGCCTTTCTAAGAGAATGGGTCACCCAACACACCATTTCCCTTAGAAATTGTTACCATTTTCTAATGTTCTGTATCATGAAATTATGATGGCAGAGTCTCACTTCATCACTCTGCAGAATGAATGATACTCTTCAAATGAATTGGCTTCATCCTTGATTGAATTTATTATGTCTGTCATCTCCGGAAATGTTCAGGAGCTAGAAACATCTCAATCATAAAACAGAACTAAATGAGCGGCTCAAAAACAAGAATAGCCCTTGATACTGCAATATGCTAGGAATTTGGTCTTAGCCACAAGAGGGACTTAATGTTAACTATTAAATAGATGTCAAAGAATGACAGGCACAAAAGATCAGAAGCTTTTCAAACTGAAGGAACTCCATGAAGTTGATTATAATTCCTGTACAGAACTACTTACAGCATGTATATTAAAAGTACTAGTCCTAAAAAAAAAAAAAGGTACTAGTCTGGGGCTTCCAGGTGGCTCAGTTAAGCATCCGAATCTTGATTTCAGCTCAGGTCATGATCTCACATTTTGTGAGTTCAAGCCCCATGCTGGGCTCCGCACTGCTTCTTCTCATCTCTCTCTCCCCCAAAATAAACAAATGTAAAAAAAAAAAAAAAAAAAAAAAAAAAAAAAAAAAAAAAAAAAAAAAAAAAGATTAAGCATTTTCTGGTAAAGGCAAATCCTTCTGTTTTACTTATGTACTTACTTCAGATTTGCCTCAAATAAAAGGTCCTTTTATAACACCCTACAGTAAGACTATGAAAAAAAATGCAAAAATTGGAAATAGAACTAAGTGTGTGAAGAGTGATAAAACTTGGAAAATGTGAGATACAAAAGCCAATGTACAAAAATGAAACAACTCATATGTTGTATATTAGTGCAATCAATTTGGCCTGAGAATAACCTTCAGGAGGAAGGACTAGAATGTGATTTAACTAAGTAAACTTAAGTTTTATTAATCTCCCTGAAAAACAGGCTTATAGTAGGAGATGGTGTAAAGGACAATTATACAAAAGGAAAGCCCTTCGAATGCCACCTAGGGAAGATCAGGGAGATGAGTTCTAAAACCAGGTGATATTGGCAATCATACCTCCCTGGCTGGAATACCTCACAAATAAAGACAAACAATGATACCCTCCCTAATCCTACTAGCTGTTAGGATAAATTAACCCCCCAAATGCCCAGACATCATGCTCATCATGAATCTTTTTATATTTAAATTATAAACAGGGTTTCCCATGAAGATTTCTTTCAGACAAAGATGGCAAGAGAATGGCAGTGTCTTAGATTCATTCAAAGTCAGGTTTCTTAAGAGGTGTGTGCGCATATGTATTATTTATTACTGTCACTAGACAACTTGCAAGGACTTTTAACCCTTTAACCGCTCTTAAGTACACTTTTAGAGGCACCTGGCTGGTTCAGCTGGTAAAGCATGCGACTCTTGATCTTGGGGTGGTAAGTCTGGGCCCATATTGAGTACAGAGATTACTTAAAAATACAATCTTTAAAAAAAAAACAAAAACAAAAAACCACAATTTAAAAAAGTGAGATTCTCGCCCTGCAAAAGTATTTCTCTAATGGTTGGTACAGCAAAATCACCTGTTAAAAACGAAGATTCTCAGCCTCCACCTGGAGGTGAAACAAAATCTAGAGGCACTTTTTAAAACAAAGTCTAGGTGATTATTACACATACTAACAGGAGAACTGCTGCTAAATCTGCTCTTAATGAGCAGATCTATGCCAATCTATGCCAATCTCAGACTAGGCCTAAATTGAAATAAAAAAAAATTTGCAGGAGCGCCTGGTGGCTCAGTGGGTTAAACGTCTGACTTCCACTCAGGTAATGATCTCACGTTTCCTGAGTTCAAGCCCCGCTTTAGGCTCTGTGCTGACACAGCCTGGAGCCTGCTTCGGATTCTGTGTCTCCTCTCTCTGCCCCTCCTCCACTCGTGCCGGTCTCTCTCTCGCTCGCTCTCTCTCTCTCAACAATAAACAAACATTAAAAAAAAGGAAAAAGATACAGCAGTTTCTCCCCTCATTCCTGAGATTGTTCCTGAATCTCCAAAGTGTATTCATGGCATTAGCAAAGACTTAATGATCCTCATATATGCTGTCACAATTATTATATATCTATCAAGCACATCTAAAAGCAATACCAGACTAACTGGAAGTGGAAAAGTAGGACAATGACAAAGCCCTATTATATCCTTTTGATACTGAACAAGCCGTTCCTTCAGATGACAAGTGCCACCTATGCTTTTTATAAATGTGAATGAAATCTTGTCAACTTAAAAATTTTTTTTCATTTATTTTGAGAGACGGAGCACAAGTGGGGGGAGGGGCAGGGAGAAAGACACAGAATCCGAAGCAGGCTCCAGGCTCTGAGCACTCAGCACAGTGCCCAAAGCGGGGCTCAAACTCATGAACTGTAAGATCATGCCCTGAACTGAAGTCGGACGCTTAACTGACTCAGTCACCCAGTTACCCCATGAAATCTTGTCAATTGTTAAACTGAGAATTTAAACAACTGAGATTCTATGTATTGAGTTGATAGATCAATAAATGCTACAAAAATCCTTATAATCTTGGCTGTTTTTAGACATGAAACAGTGTAACAACATACATTGATAAAGTGAATCATCAGAAAGTACATTTTCTCATGCAAGAAGTTGAAAAGACCATAGACAAGTTTTCATGGGACATCTAGCAACTAATTTGTTTCTATAATTTGAAGATAAAGGTTTCCCCTTCTGCAAAATCAGGCAGACTCTATTTTGTATCCTTGTGAGGGCATTAGTCTTGAAGACACATTAAATAGTTTAGCTAAAATTGGGAGGGAGGTAACATGCAGGATAGGATCTCAACCACTTTTTTGGTCCAATTCAGAGTGATCAAATAAATTACAGCAAACAGGAGAAAAATACACTAAAAAGTTAAAGTTCTGAACATTTCAAAATCGTTTTGGCATAAAGAAATAAATACAAGATAAATAACCCTCAAAATTTTCATTAGTAATCTGTATCCTATAGCATTCTACTGACATTACACAGAAACTCAAGTCTCTTCATCATCACTAACTTGTACACATATGCCCAATGCTTTCTACGTTTTTTTAAAAAACAAGTTGCTTATAATGGAGATTTGAATTTAACTTTCTCCTGAGGTCTGCTTACGGTGTCATTTTTGCTTAGTTTATAAGTTTGTTTTTAATTCCTGGGAAGAGGTATATAGGGAGACTCTTCCAGAAGGGAATTAGAAAATGTTAGTCTCTGGATCTTCATCACATAGTTATGTTCAAATTGTATTCCTAGTATGGGTAGTGTATACACACACCAAACATACATAAAAAGAAAATCTAACAAAATCTGCCACACACAGACGCAAATAAAAAATTAACACTGAACCACACAAGGGAATACATCAAGCATTTTATCTAAAATTTTGTATAAACACGATCTGAAAAAATAAAAATGAAGTCAAAAGCAAATTAAGTGACAGTTAAGTCTATACCTAGTAGCCCAGTGTCTACGTCTTCAGTCTTCAAATTTTCAGCATGTAACTCTGTAAAATACAAAAAAAGGGGCTTGCATAAAAAAGATGATTTTACAATTTGAACAATAGCTCAAAGGCTGGAAAGATATTGTGGAGTTGTGGCAAATGCTCTGGAGTCATAATCAACTGGGCCTAAGTTCTGATTTCATTTACTAGCTACTTTACCTTCAGTCAGCAAATAAGGTATTTGAGTCAACTTTAGTGTTACTGTGAAAATATATGTATTTTTTTAAAGTTTACATATTTAAGTAATCTCTACACCGAATGTGAGGCTTGAACTCACAACCTCGAGGTCATGCTCTTCCAAATGAGCCAGCCAGATGCCCCTGAAAATATTCTATGTAATACAAATTACATGCATGATCAGGTTCCTTTCTTCCAGTCTCAAAAATAAGCACAACTCAATGTCTTCCACAATGGATTCAACTTACCAAGTTTTGCGACTTTATAACATAAAGGGAAGCTCTCACAGCATAAGAGAAATAACGTACAGAACTCTGCGAGTTACAGTAAAAAAAAGAGAGGAGGAGTGAAAGAGGAATGAAACACTGGCAGCCACATATTTAATGTTGACAGTTTACACCCAATACCATTGTACAGAGGTTCGTGTTAACTTGCCCATCTGTCTTGGGTATGAAAATCAAGCATAAGTTGTTAGATGCCACCTGCAGCCCAATGAGGGCTTGGAAGCAATGACGAAAAATTACAACTGGAGTTAAGCTGATATAGTTCTGTTGAGTGAAGTAAAACTAATACTTGAGTGACACCGTGTTGGGTGCTTCTCGGAACTAAAGTTCTCAGAGAACTGAAGTGTTTTTGTTTTAACTAACTTTTCTGTGTCAATACCTTGGCCAAAGTCACACACAGTGAGAACTGAGATTTAAACTTTGGTCTGATTCTTTCCACTGTAATATAAAATATTCTAGCCATATAATACAACTGTATAAATTTTGAAAAATCTTTCATGGCACATCTTTCTATTACGATCAGCCCTGTATTTAAACTTCAAAGGAAAATAAAACTTAATAACCAGAAAAATAATAAATTATCTAGCTCCTATAAGAACTTTACACTCGATTGAAGACCTAACACAAAATCAAGAGAGCTAATTATCTACAAAGATAGAACGTTAGGCTGTGGGATGGAAATCCTGGTGTTTCAGGAATTCGGTGAGTGTACAAAAGAATCGGTGTTTAGCACACCTTGAACCATTTGTCGATTAAACCAAGTCTTTGAACATATTTAGCCTATTTTAGTCTCACACTTCTCACCGTCTTTTAAGGATTACCGTCCTACATACTGCTTAATTTTGCCAACATTTCACCCCAAGTGTTCACTGACTCCACTGTTTATTCCAGAGTACCCATTTAATCAAGGCCTCTCCTTATAACGGGTCTCCTAAGCTTGGACCAAGGCCCTCCACCCTTAAGAAAAAAACAGAGGAAGAGCAAAGAAAGGTGCCAATGAGGACTCTGGATGAAAGCCGGTACCCGACTGCTAGCCTCTGATGGGGAGGAGAGAGATGGAAGGCAAGAGCCACAGACAGGCTCAACTTCACTCTGGAGAGACTTTCAAGGCCGAGCTTCAGTACCTTTTACGATCAAGTAGGCGATGGCGAGGAGGAAGGCGAGGAGGATGGCGAACAGCAGCGAACAAAGAATTGAGAGGATCTGGACAGGCCACCGCCGGGCCTGGGCTCGTCCGCCCGCAACCGTTGAGAAAATGCCATTGCGCTTATCGGGCAGAACCGGCGACCCGTCCCTGTCCCGCTGGAGTAGCGAGCCCTTTCTAGGCTCCGACGACGCCCCGGCTGAAAACTCCGCCCGCAGGTCGCGGGCCACTTGGTCGCATCCGTCCTCCTCGTCCCCTTCACCTTCACCCCAACTGTCCCCCTGAGTGAAGGCGGTAAAAGCCGGCCGAGCAAACGGAACAGGGGTGCCGAGGCGTCGGCGCAGAAGAGCGGAGCGCCGCCCGCTCTCCACAAACGACATGGCGGGAAAGACGAGGGGACCAGCGGACGTCGAGAGACTACCACCCGCCCCGCCCCGCGCTCGCAGCAGCCAATTAGCGGCCAGGCCCCCCCACAGCCTCCACCACCTGGCACTGACGCGCAGGGGTGTCCGGGAGTGCGCAACGGGGCGGAGAAGGTGCTGTGGAGCCTAAGGAAAGGGTGGGTGCCCCGGGGCCACAGCACGATCCCCGGCTAGTAGGAAGGAAGGGAAGCGGGGAAGCGCACAGGGAGAGGCGACCCGAGGCTGAGGGTAGCCAAGTCTCCTCTCCCTGCAGTGCTTCGTCCCTGCCAGAGACCTCCGCCACCGTCGCGTCACCTCTAGGCAACCGCGCGCCCCGGCAGCCCCCAAAGCTGCATCTTCTCGACGCTCGGTCCTAGCGCCCTCCCATACCTTTCTGATTCACATTTCCGAACCGATTTGCTTTCTCCCTTCTTCCGCCGTCAGCACCTACTCTTCTCTGGCTTCCCTCTTTAACGGCAGCTCACCGCCCAAACGCTCTCCCCTCGTCCAAACTGCCCTTCCCTCTTTTTCTTTTGCATTGTTCTCCCCGCCCCTATCACAACTTCCCTCCACGCTGCTCGACACGCCTCCCTCCCGCCCCCTCCACCCCGGAGTGGGCTCAGCTGCTGGTGCGTACGGAGTTTTAACCCTCTTCTAAGGAGCCCCCCCTCCTCTCCTCTTCCCGCCCCCTCCCCTCCGCCTCGAGCACCGCGCGCGCCCCCGCGCGCGTCCGGCCCCGGCCACCGCTAACGCTAGAAGCTGCTTACCCCACCCCCACCCCACCCCACCCCACCCCACCGCGGGCAGCCTCAGGTTTGTGGGGCGTACGTAACTCGGGCGGAGTGGGTGAAGGTGGCAGGCCCCCACTGCCCCACCCCCTACGGGGTGAGGCGGTCTAAGCTCGGGAAGCCGGGACAAGGTTGTCTTCTCTTCCCCGGGGAAAGTTGGTGGAGTTTTCCCGGAGGAGGCGCAGAAACTTCCTCCGTCCCCCTCCCCCCCCTCCATGCAGGCGACGCCAAGTGAGGCTGAGGCTGGGGGCGAATCGCCGAAGAGCTGCGTGTCGACAGCGCACTCTGATTGGACAGCGGGGAAGCCTGTCAGCTTATTGGCCCCGCTGATCCCGCCCCGTAGCGCAGGGCAGCCTTTAACCTTTGGCCCCAGCGGGCGCCAGCCACTCAGATCGCTTCTTGTTGGTATGTGTAGCGGCAGTGGCCGCCGGCGGAGCAGTCTGAGCCCGACGATGAGGCCGGGGACGGGAGCTGAGCGTGGAGGCCTCATGGTGAGTGAAATGGAGAACCATCCTCCTTCGCGGGGTCCCGGGGACGGGGAGCGGAGATTGTCCGGCTCAAGCCTCTGCTCCAGCTCTTGGGTCTCTGCTGACGGCTTCCTGAGGAGACGGCCCTCGGTAAGGGATCGGTGGAGCAGGGGGAAAGCGGCACAATGAAAAACGGAGTCAGAGAGGCAGGAAGCTTTTTCCAGAAGGAGAAGAAGATAAGAGCGGACGGAGGAAGAGCTCGAGATGGTGGGATATGTAACGAGGAAGAGAATTGGAGAGCGGGGATGCACAAAGGGAAGGATGTGGGTCCCTGGAAGTTCCCATTGGGCTTGGCCTAGACAGATGCGCGGTGGAGGTGCTGGGCCTTGGGCGCGGTGAGCCTCTTGGAGAGGTAGGCCGGCTGTAGCAGGAAGGGGGAGGCGGAGACTTGATGTTGTAGATTTTAAAAGCGGCTGGTAAAATCTGCTTTCACCAATAGTAGTGGTGTCTGCAGGGGGTACAGCTGGGAAAATTGGCAGGGGATAACTACCTGTTTTTAAGACCCGGAACAATGGGCACACAGGTAAAGAAATAGTTGTCTTTTAAAAGCGAATTAAAATGGATGTATTGGTTGGTTGTCTTTAGGGTCTGTGAATGACTGACCTTAGTCTTTGGAAAAAAAATTTTTTTTGGCAGAAGTAATTCTACTTGTGTTAAAGATTCTGTTAGGAAATAATATGTTTATATGTTAGGAGTTAAGTGCCCATGGGTACACGTAATGTGTTCTTTTTTGGTAAGACCAGCTCTTACCTTAGTTACTTTGGTAGATTCTCATTTCAGAATTTAAGATCAACTTAAAAATAAATTTAAGGATAATTAGTGTTCTGACATAAGTTAGCTATCTTCTGTCTGTGTGAACTAGAACAAAGTTGTGGTTTTTCACCCGTAACAGTTTTTAAATTGGCTTTCACATGCGTGTTCCCTGAGTTTAGCAAGCCAGCTAGTAAGCAGTGTGCTTTAAAAAAAAAAAAAAAAAAAAAAAAAAAAAAAAAAAAAAAGGAAAGAAAGAAAGAAAAGAGAAAACCTATGCTTTAGCTGTCCGGTATTTATTTTAATTCTTTCCATTTTGTTCTGTAATTTGTTTAGTTTCAAGTTCTTTATAAGTACTGGTATGTATAGTGCATTTTGTTTGTTTAAGAAAGTGTAAGTTAACCCAGTAATTGAATTATACATTGGCCTAATATGCCGCTGCACATAACCAATTTGTTGAAATCAGATTTTTGAGAAGCATTTATTGTTACTTGCTAATTTTTAAATTGTCCCTATTTTTCAGATGGGGCACCCTGGCATGCATTATGCCCCAATGGGAATGCACCCTATGGGTCAGAGAGCCAATATGCCTCCTGTACCTCATGGAATGATGCCGCAAATGATGCCCCCTATGGGAGGGCCGCCAATGGGACAAGTAAGAATGTTTTTGTTTTATTTTGTATTTATTTGTTTATTTTTGCCTGTGGTATCATTGTGTCAAGATTTCAAAATCCGGGTGAATACTTGCAGCTGTTTAAGGATTAGCTTATGCCAAAATAATGTCAAATAAGTCAAATGTTGAGTGGTGACACTAATCAAATTTTGAACGTAAGGAGAAGCCTTCTGTATAAAAGATTTATTTTCTACCAACAACAGAATTCAGTTCTTTTATTAAGTAGCTGTATATGTAGTCTTATTAATTTAATAACTTTCTTTTTCCTATTATGTCAATTGAAGTTAATGCTTGAGTAGTGAATATTATAGGTCAACATAATTTATGTCCGTGGACCATGTAAATGCATAGAGTCTAAAAAAACAGAATTGTTTAGGTCTTGGCTTAGAATAAAGTTGATTCCTGAAATAGCATTCTCTTCTGTGTGTGTGTGTGCGTGCGCGCGCCCGTGTTGGGAATAGAATAGGAATGTTCTACTCTAATTTAATTCTTCATTAGGACAGTGCCAAATAGGTGGTTCATTTTCCACTTACACTGTTTTGTTTTGTTTTGAATGCTTATTGCTTCTGCACTCCTGCTTTTGAGCTGTCCCTTTCATTTCCAGTATAAATTGTAAATGGCTATTTTGTGGGAATGATTTGGATCAAAAGGTTTTAATGCTGACTCAGTGAATTCAGTAGAACTGAGTTCCTAGAGAAGCATCCAAGAAAGGTAACAGGTTCAGTTACCATGAATAATTTTATGCCCCCTGTCAGGTTCTGTGATACATATATTCTTTGTTGGTTGAGTTCTTTCCATTTTAGTATCTATAAATCATCAAAAATTTAGGTTGATAAAATATTTTGGAAAGCCAATTAGGTATGGTCTTTCTGCTAATTAATACTGTTTATGCTGATAATCACTTGAGCCTTGATATTTTAATTTATTGGTGAAATTATAGTGGAGAAAGGAGTTTGCTCTGTGTCTTTCTCTTTTTAACTTAACCTTAGGAGTAGAAGGGCTTAATGTCAAGTGGCTTTCTTCTTTATTTGGAATATAGCCCTTAAGTTTGTATAAAAATTTTTACTCAAAGACACCAGGCCCCCAAAATTCTGCTGGGAGGATTTTTGTTTGTTTGTTTTTTTAATAAAAGAACCATTTATTCTGTGATTCTAGAATAACACAAGATTTAAAACTCCCTTAGGTGATGGAGAAACAATTCTGATTCCTCTTCTGTTTCTCTCCATCTGTAAGCAGCAAGGAGCTCTTCTGGTTTTCTTAGTAGAGCTGCTCTAACTAGATAATGAGCTTTAAAAAATATTTATTCTTTAAATGCTCTGGTTCTTATTTAAAATTAGTTTCTTTCCACAGAAAGATAAAATAAAACAATTTGCTACTGCCAGATGCTTCTCTCTTTTCTGGGGCCTTCTGTTTCCATTGGGCCAATCAAGGTAAGTTTTGCAAGGGATTGACCTGCTTACCCTTGCTGTAATGGTGCTATTGCACTACCAGACCAAGACACCAGCTAGTCATTTCTAGTAAAATGCAGATTTTATTTATTTTTTTAAGTACTTTTGTGTATCTCATTGACATAAGCTGGTCACAGTTTGCTTTATGGCCCTTTCTCTTTAGCTGTATCAGTGACCATCTTCCTAGTAAGGTTACTTGCTATCTGGTACACGTCTGTTCAAATCCTTTGAATTTTACCTTGTGGTTTTCTTTTTCCCTAGACCAGTGTATGCTATGTATCTGTAAGTGTACCTGACTATTTAGAAGTTTAAAAGTCTGTCTCCCTCTTGGCTCTTGTTAGGATCATGAATGAATGGATGACTTAAGAGTCCAGCTCTGTGGGTCCCAAAAGAAACTCCATTGTTTTTCCTTAAAATTAGATTGTTTCTTTTTTTCTTCTTAATATCTAACTTATATGGGACCCAAATTAGTAAAACCAATTCTTATTTGAGCTTTGGTAACAGACTAGGAGGGCATGGATAATTTAAATTCTCAAGTAATCTAGAAATCTAATTTAAAGCCCTGTAAGCAACTACCTTAAAGATAAAAGTTGCTAATTAGCAAAATTGATCTTTTTTCTGCATATCATCTCTTCTGTCTTCCCACTTAGAGATATTAATGGTCAGAAGATAATGAGAAACAGTAGGGTGCCTATGTAGTTCAGTGTGGTGACACAAAGTTGGTAGGGTTCTGCCATTCAATTTTAAAAAGTCAATTTACAGATTTAGACTTTGGGACTGAAGGTTATGGAACCTTCATGTATATTGCCTAGTTCACATTAAGTCCTCATTCTGGGACCAGCTGAAGATGAAAATTGGTGCCAGTCTTACTTGCTAAATGATTCTGGTCTTTGGAATGTTAGTGAACATGACGTGAAATTTTAAAACTTGTTTGTAAAATAGTATGCTGACTGGACAGAATACCCACGTATGGAGCCAGAAGTTGTAATTTTTTTGATGCATCAAGTTACAGGTTAAAGGAGTATTATGGTTTTCTTAAAGAGTTTTTTTATTTGTTTTTATTCAGGAGATAACCTACAGTGCCCCTTTTAGAATTCAGGCTGAATCTATTAGTACTAAAAAGTGCATTTCTTTCAAGTTTATATCAGTTATCTGTTGTATAGGTTAAATTTGCCTCTTACTGTATGTTAACTTCATGTGGGAAAGTTGTTCTTCTGCTTTTACAGGATCATAGAATCTTAACAGCTGGAAGGGACCTTGAAAGTTGTGTAACCTTTAAATAATATGGAAATTAAATAATGGTTTATCACTGGTTAAAAAAACCATTATAAATAATTTCCCTGCTTGCTGGCAGTACTCAAAAATTTGCAGTAGAGATTTGCCTTAAGATGTGATTATATGTGAGGCCATCTTCTACTTATATAGTAAGTAATGTTTTGCTTTTAAAATGTTTTCACATCTAATTTTTGTTGTTCTTTGTACACAAAGGACATGCAAGTCCTTCCTTTATCACAGGTGATTTTGCCTTCACTGAAAGTCCTTCTAGCTGGCTCTTTTTTTCTTTTTTAAATTTTTTATCTTTCTTTTAATGAGAAAAGTAGAGTAAAAGACTAAACTTTTTCAGCTCTAACAACCTATGGTTCAATTCAGATCATTTGATAAGAAGAGTAGGTGATATGTATGAGATATTATGGGTTGATGTGGAAGTAACAATACTTTTATTAGTGCCTCCCTAATTCTAATTATTCATTACTTTTTGGGCTCTATTCAATAAATTGATAAATGAATCATTGCTTTTTACAAATGAGTTTGATTTTCTTGTCCTTAAATTGAGTAAGACAAGCTTTAACAGATCTTGAGTCTATTCCTGCTGCCATCTGGACCCAAGCAGTTACACTCTCATGCCCAAGATGCTTTTGACTTTTAGGGTTTTTTTGTTTTTGTTGTTGCTTTTTTGTTTTGTTTTCTGTTTGTTTTTGCTTTAAGCTGCCCCCTCAAATTCTTTTACATTTCAGCATGTTGTCTCCTTGCCCAAGAACCTCCAGTGTTTTTCTGTACCTGTATAATGTCTAAATTTCACAATTTAACTTCCAAGACTCTCCCATAGTACAGTTCAGTGCATGATTCTGAGCTGCATGTCTTCACACTCCCTAATTTGAAACCAGGCTGGTCTTTTTATATCTTGGGTGATTGAATCAGTTCATGACTGAGCTCATGGTGTTCATGCCCTCCTGCCCACAGCTCAGTACCACCATGAACTTTTCTTACCTAAGTTCTACCATTTCAAGTTCTGCTTTCTCTCAAAGATCCTCAACAATAACTTTGTCCAGCATACACCTCCCCTTCAAACTATTAAAATAAAATCCTATGAAATCTGCCCACAACTCTTACTATTTTGGTTATTTGGGGATTTAGTTTTGATTTGTTTTGTTTAATGGTTTAATTGCTCTGTCTTTCCAGCAAGTAATAGACTGTAAGCTCTTAGAGGGCAGGACCTGTGTTTTCTACTTTTTAAGAAGTCCACAGGTGCTGAGCACAGTTCTTGGCACAGCATGGGTGCTCAGTAAAATACTTGTTGAATGAATGAAACAAAAACATACTCTTTCCTACATTATAGGCCTTGAAGATAGTAGTTGTTACATGTGACTATTTTCATTGGTTACTTGTGACTTTACATTGTTACCACTTCTTAGTGTATGCCTCTCTACAGTTGCTTTTTCATTTGATAAAAATGGAAGATAAAATGAAGTAAATTTTTGTTTGGTGAATAAAGCAAAAATATTTATTTCCTTTTATTTTAAATTATAAGCAAATATATTTCTATCAGTATGATTTATTGATCGTTTTTTTAAGACGTTAATTTTTCCATACCCTAAGGGAAAATGATTTGGAATATAGGCCTTCCAGAGAAATCCAAAGTGTTGGGTGTCTTAGGTTTTTCTGGCTGATTTGACCAATTGATTTGTTCCTATTGGTTTTGAATTACCTTTACTTTTGGGTAGAGAATCCATGCCATTGAATTGAATGTTAGTAAGTGACCTTTTTTTTTTTTTTTAAGTTATTTGCTCATGATTGTTGAATCTCAGTAACTTTCTATATGCATTTACGTTATCCAGGCGAGTAATTTTTTTAAAAAATAGATTGAGCTAGAACTAATGTGTTTGTATAACTTCTCGGCTGTGTGTATGTGGTTAGATTTTGATGAATTTACTAACGATACTATTTTCTTTAGGTAGTATTTCAGTTAAATATGAACTTACCTATTCAAAACCCTTAGCTAGAGTAGTGTTTGTAAGTATGGAGAATATTTGGAGAGCTCTAAGAAGACTATAAGTGTGGAAGAATGAACTGTACCCCTCTTCTGCCTTTGACATTCAAGGGCAGAGTATTCTAAAGATGTTGAGAAGTCTTGCAGAAGCCTTCTGAAACCATTTTTCTCAGTGTTTCTTGGTTTTATTTTACCAACTTCTGCTCCCCCACCTCCCCAGCCTTCTTTACCTCCCTGTTATGTGTTTATTTTGCTTTGTCTAGCAC